TTGATGGTGCTCTCTCATAGATTATATTTTAATAGTTTGTATTGTTTTTAATGTTTTAATGATTTCTGGGTTGTTGTTTTTTAACTTTCTAAGCTGCCTGGAATTGTGGAAGTGACATCATGTGTGAGCCATAACTAATAGCAAGGCAGTAAAGGAGCATGAGTCTGATAAAACAGCAGTGCAAACTCCAGATGGCACTCAGAGCCATAGCAACAATCTATAGATGTTTCATTAACTAATCCAACCTAGACAGTATAATAAAATCATAACATTATTTAGTCTGAATTGTATGAGACTTTGGACTAGGCTAGAACATTGTCTATTAATTTCAAGCACTATTTACAGATGTTGGTAATTTACTTTTACTTTCTGATTTCATGCAATTTCTGTGAATGGAACATATTAATACTTAATTTATGCAGCCATAAACTATTATCATTTAACAAACAGTATCTTCTCAAGGCAATCCAAATTTGTAAACTCGTGCAACATATCAATACAATTCATATGAACGTTTTAAAACATTCACTACAGTGAATGTTTTCTTGAAGTTAGTGAGCCATCTGGTGGTTTAGATTGCTAATGTCACTTCTTATTTTTCTATTTTTTTTAAAAAAAAAATTCAATTGCTGACCTTAACATGCTCAGCACAACATGTTTTGAAATAGGTATACAGCTTAAAAAGTGAGCATGCTACAATTTTTTCATTGTCTACACATTTCTTCATGGTGGTTTGAATTTTATCAACAGAATTAGAACGGTGTATACAATTCTAAAACTAGCAAGCACTAATAGCACAGGAAGAAAATAGGGGATTCCAACTGCATGCAAATTATTTCATAAACTTTCCTGTGTGTTCCAGACATCTCTCAGGAACTCAGAGTTATGGGGTTAATTTATAAAGCCACTTGATATGGAGAAAAATATCCTTATTTCCTCCAAAGCTCTTCATGAGATGGTTTGACTGAACAATGGTTTCAAAAGTTTATCTTGCAGCATTACAGCTAAATTAACAACTAAAAGAAATGTGTACAAATTCTTCCAACTTGGATGTAACTGACTCAATCAGTACCATTCTCAGTCCAAACCACAGTGGGTTGACAGAGTGTATAATCGGTATCCTTAACTCTCGCTTAGTATAATATTTGAACCCAATTATTACATGTTAAACATGATTTATGGTATAACATTTGTCACTGGAGACACTGAATTACAACTGCAAGTATATTTACCTGTAAATTTATGTACTGGAATTCAACAGGGCTTGCTTTGGCGCAGTGACATAATAAGATTATGTGTTCTGTTAGTTGTCTATTATTCCTACCAAAAAACGATTGTTTTTAAATCATGACTTAAATCCCACAGATTTCAATGAGGCTTAAGCATGACTTCATTTGTAACTAGTTTAATTATGAAGAAAGCTCCTTTAACAGCACAATCTCAGTTTATTAGACCAGGGCTTTTCAACCAGTGGTACGGGTACCACCTGTGGTACATTGGCACCTGGCAGGTGGTACGCGACCATCCTAGAAAAGTGGTAGCGGGGGAGGGTAAGGAGCTGAACCGGTGGCAGCACCGCACAAGCCTGAGTGAGAGACGGCTGGAGCTGCAGGGCTGTCAGGGCTCAGTGGAAGTGCCAGGATCAGCACCAGGCTCCAGCTGTAGCTCGGCGCTGATCCTGGGGCTTCTGCTGAGCCCAGAAGTGCTGATCAGCTGGAATGTTGCAGCATCTCCAGGGTCTTGTGATTTACATTCAGATGCTTGGCAACTGATTCATATTTATGACGGTCACAGTGTCCCAGGGTCATGTGAAGTGGCCAAAACCTGCTGCAACCACCCAGCAGACGGGGGAGGGGGAAATAAAAATCAAACACCCCCCCCACCCTACCCCCGCTGCCAATCCTCAACAGAAATGCTCACAACAATGAAAACCTCGGACAGGAGGTAGAGCGTCGCCGGGCGGGCAGGCAGGCAGGTGTCTTGCTCGGCTGTGGCTTGGGGGGCACTTTTTTCAGTGCTATTGTAACTTCAAACAGTCACTAAGCAAACTGTTGTAAGTCCAGGACTACCTGTACTTTATCACTTTTTTCCTTTTTTTTTTTTTTTGGTCATCAAGTTTTTGACACTTTGCTAGGCGACGTGGTACTCGGATATTGCCATATCCTAAAAGTGGTACAATGGGTGAAAAGGTTGAAAAGCCCTGTATTAGACAGTCCAGCCATAGGCTGGTTATCAAATTACTTAATAATCTATGTTACCTACAAAAATATGCCTCATGTACAAGGTAATTCATAGCATAATCTTTACCTTTAATGCGTATTATAAGTACATTCTGATTTAATTGGATCTTAACTTCATGTTTATATAACATTTAGTATTTTAATACAAAAATGTATCAAAGTATTTTCATTTATTTTATAAAAAGTTTCTTAGATAATATACATATATTCATATTTTTTTTCGCAAAATACTGATCATAAGTAAAATATCAAGGCTTCCAAAAGAAGCTAAATTCATAGTTGCAAAACATTAGAAAACTGATGGTTTTTAATACTTAGAGTGCCATCTGGTGGAAAAAAATATTTTAATTTCAAAATAGTTTTTAAGGTAGTCTGTATTTTTTAAACTATCAATATACGGTAGTACTGATGTTAGATAGGATACACATGATCCTAAAGTATTTGATAAGTAGATAGTTTGCTGAATTTTCAATAGGGAGATAGATAAATTGAAACCAAAGTTATACTAATGCTAGTAATTTTGAGTTGTAAAATTCCTTTTTAAGGAAAATCTTTACACATCTGTTCAATTTGTAGAGAATTTGCTAGGAGCTGGGCACTAAGTTTAAAAAAATTGCTTCACATTAAGTATGCTTATGAAACCAATGAAAACAATCTGTATTCATTTTAGATTATATCCTATAGAATTCAAGGTACTTACTTTCAAGCAAAAATTACAGGAGTGTGTTTCACCATTTTTCCAAATTAATAAATTAATACAGAAAATATTTGTTCTAATCAAAACTCACAATTTTATAGGTGGCTTCAGAAAATTATATTTGAAGTAAAAATTAATTTTTTTCTTAGACATTACACAGAATTTTTAATCTGTTTGCTAACGGTCTATATTAACATTTTTGAAAGGGATAAATCCAGTGTCCTTGTATTCTAAATGTTTTGCGTTGATACAAATATACCTTATGAAATAATTCTAGTTTCTCCCATTAATGCTGCTTGGTTCAGTAGATAAAAAAACTTAATAATCCTATAGATCTTGTTTAAAATATATTGTTCTTGTCCAACAATAAGCAAAAATAACAGATAAACAAAACTTTTATATAATGAAACAAAACTCTGAGAGAAAGCTTGACAATTGAGATGTTTAGTCAAAGAGTTTTTAATATAATGCAGATTTCTGTGTGGAAGGAAAACACCGTAAAAGTGATGGAAAAATAATTATAATGAAAGAATGAAAGATAAATGACTATTGCATGAAAAAGACTTATTTATAACAAAAATACCCATGCAGGAAATACTAATTATACAACAAAAATGCCCAGATATATATTCAACTGTGATGCAAGAATAGCCATGGCCTTTGGATCTAGGGAGCAAATCCCTGCAGGCTGATGGCAACAGTGAAACGTGGTCTTTGTGCAAAGGCCAAATTTTAAAAAAAAACCACTATGAATATTACTCTCATGTACAGATGATGCAATAGAAAACTTTGGAACTAAAGCATTACTTATTCCAGACGTGTCTGGAGGAAGAGTCTTTACCCTAAGTCTCTAGAAGCCTATCTTAACTGGGATGGGGGTGCAAAAACCATGCAATCAAAACAGAAATCCCAGGCCTGATGCATGCAATGAATTAAATGGATTAGCTGTACTGCTAGAGCTCATTTGGAAAACTGTACCTACACAAGTGTTTCTGCTTAAGTTACCTAAAAAGAATGTATGTTTCCAATTGTATGGGTATGCAACAGTCTATACATACAGGCTATAATAGTATAGTAGGCACCACGAGAATTATAAAGGAAAATAACCTATAAGTTACTTTCTGCTTACAATTAATCAAGGTCTTTTGAGGGCATGCTACTCCTTTAAACTAGTAAGTTTCTTGGAACCAAATAATAAAAGCTTTGTTTTAGGTTCAAAACAGAAAGGTGTAAATATTGTGCCTTGGTTTCCCAATGCTTTCTTCTTTGAAACATTTACTACCCAGTGTTTCACTAGGTGAGATAAACATAACAGTTACTTCATGTGGTGGATACCTATGACTGCACGTTCACCTGTTCTATCACTGATGTATATTGAGCAATTGTGCTACCATTGCCTTAAGTTTTAGAAATCTTTCCAGAAACGCACAACGTCCAACCAAACGTGTAAAATATCTCGTACCCTTTTCATTCGTGCTCTGCTGTCCTAAAAACCTTGGCGCTCTCAAAAAGGGCTTGGAACAAACAGGCTGGTGGAAGGAAAGGAGGATCTGGCACCGAACTTGGGTGGACGGGATTCAAGGAAATCTCCCCCTCCTGGAATAAGAAACAACCGCAGCAGCTCCTACGCGGAAAACTTGAGTTGCAGAGGAGCGCGAGCTGTGCCGAGGGGGAGCAAAGGACTGCCAGGCCGGGTAGTAGGGTGAACGGGTAAAGCCGAGTATTTATTTACACACACACCCCACCTCAACTTATACGTTCTCCCTCTTCGGGTAGTGTAGGGCTGATCGCTCAAAGGAGAGGCGGGCAGGGGCACCGTTGCCGCGCTGACTTTACGCACAGATGAGCTCAAGCCTCGACTAGGTCCCCGCCTCCACAACAGCGGGGGCAAAAGGGGGAGCTCACGCCATATAAGTGCAAGCGCGCCCTGCCTTCGTTCCCATACTCGAGGCGAAGAGCCGAGGCTCGCTTCTCTCTAGTTTCTCCCTCCGGGACTTTGCCAGGGACTTCAGGGCGCGGAAGGAGCCCTGCGGCGCTCTTGCTCGCCTGGCCCTAGGCCGTTACAAAGCAGCGCAGTCAATTAGCTCGGCTCTAAACGGTTCGAATAGACATTCTGCCCGGTAGTGCTAAGGCGCCGTTTGCGTGCCATTTTGCAACTCATCTCCTCGGCGTTAGCTGTTACTCATTTGCCTTTCTCGCCTCTCGCGCGCTGCGGGGCAGCATGAAGGGAGCTAAGGCATGCCTGGCGCTGAGCACGCTGTTGCTCTCGCTGGGGGCTCGAGGCGGCCCTCCTTCGCCACCAGAGGAGGAGCTGGTGGTGCCCGTGAAAGTGGATTCCGTCGGGCGGCAGCTGGCGGCCGACGACCAGCTCTACCACCTGGACGCCTTTGGCGAGCGCTTCAGTTTGGAGCTGAAGCCCGACGGCAGCTTTTTAGCTCCGGCTCTGACACTCCAGTATGTCGGCAGCCGCCCCCGAGGCCGGAGCGAGGAAGAGGAGGCCCACCAAGCGCTCGGCGCGAACTTAGCCAGCTGCTTCTATTCCGGCACAGTCAACGGGGATCCGGCCTCGGCCGCAGCGCTCAGCCTCTGCGGGGGAATCCGCGGCGCCTTCTACCTGCGCGGCTCAGAGTATCTCATTCAGCCGGCCAACGTCTCCCAGGGTCCAGGAGGGGAGCAGCCTCAGCTCCACCTCCTGAGCCGTTCTCGGCAGAGCCGCCTCCCCCGTGGCAGCGGCACTAAGTGCGCGGTGCCTGACTCCGACGAAACTTCGGCCTCTACAGGGCGGCGGCCCCGAAAGGAAAAGCAGCAGGCGGACTACGCGACCCGCGCAGGTATTACTTTCCCTGCACCGCACCTCTCTTCATCGCCCCGGTCCGAGCAAGGAGCTTAGCTTCGGGGACGGCAGTGACGATGCTGCGGGCCGCGCATGCGCCCCAGGCGCAGACTTTTCAAGGCGTTCGGAATGGTCCAAAACCCACGTTTCGACGTGCTGCCATTGGTCACTCTAAAAGCTGAGGTCATAAATGGAGGCGTTAAAAAAAAAAAAAGCACTAGATTGAGCTGAACGTCGTGGCTTTTCACGTTGGAAAGTGGGAGTAGGGAGGTGCTATTGATTCGGGGTATCTACGTTAAATTAGTGATTTCTCGAGTTCGGCTATTTGGAGGGCAGTCAAATATTTTGTTTGTAATGGGCAGAATTTCCCAATAGTCCCAAGGTAAAGTAAGGTCTTATGAATGGGAGCAAATCCGGTTAAATACGTGGGATTAACGTTTCTCTGTAAACGCAGGAGGATATTTTAAAATAGAGGAGTCTCGGGACGATTAGTGAAAGACATTTTGTATCAAACGTTTCACACGTTGCTGGTTAGTTGATGACAGCTTGTGCATACCTACTCCAAAGTGGTCCTTCTGAGTCTGTGTTTTGTGAGTTCCACCTAATAAATGAGTTTATAATACTTAATGCAATAAGGAAAATGCAGTCACGAAACGAGAATGCCTTACATGGAAAATCTGTGCTTGAAGTTGCATCCCATGTTACTAAATTCATCTAGTTATCTGGATTCAAAGGGTGCAGTGTATGTATGTTTCATATGGTCTGTGGATTCGTGGTAAACTGAAATGAGGGGTCCTTGGTGCTCTCTGAGCTTGCTTGTTTTCTTGCAGACATTTCATTACCCTAACTGAAATAGGGTTAGCTGGTTTATGGTTTAGTTTGTCAAATCAAACTCTGATAGTGTGAATACTGTAGCATATAGCTGTTTAATGGTAACATGAGAAATACCCCTGCAATCAAAGGGATATATTTTCTGGCTGAACATAATGTAATGTTTGTTTAGAATTCCATCGAGTTAAATGCAGCAAAGAAAGAATACATCAAATTCTACTGTTGCTATAACATTGTCAGACAAAGAGTTAAGTAGCAATTCTGTTAAAACGTGGTTTGCATGTCTAGGTTTACAATGCTCTACTCACTTTCTGAAAAAAAATTGATAAAAAGTACACACATTCTTAATGCAATGGATTCCCCCTCCCCTTTAAGTTAATGCCTTAATCTTACACTGAATCAGCACATACCGGTATGTTCATTTTGGAGTACATTCTGTGGAATTGTTTGGCACTTACATTGTCAAGCAAGCTTCTTTAGGATTGTAAGTAAAAATCAATGAAATATATTAAATATGCAATTTTTGATCAGTTTTATGGTGTGTTTCACTAAAATTTAGGCTTGTATCTTACTTGGGAAATCTGGAGTTATTCTGTTCTCTCTAATTGCTTTCAGTTCCATTGGTGAGAATCAGTACCTAGAATCTAGTTGAATACCCTAAGGGGGTTACTTTCTCTAGTATTTTACATTGTAATTTCCACAACGTTTTGTTTTAGATCAGGGGTCTTCAAACTTGGCCCTTTTTATGACTTGTGGACTTCAACTCCCAGAAATCCTCAGCTAGGCATACTGGCTGAGGATTTCTGGGAGTTGAAGTCCACAAGTCATAAAAGGGCCAAGTTTGAAGACCCATGTTTTAGATCTACCCAGCTATTGCAGAATATTCACTAGAGCTAGTCTAAAAAAACTAAGGAAGTTTGGACCTAGTTAGTATATACGTATATAGGCCAGACCCAGAAGTTAAAAAAAAATAATCCTAGAAGGCAATGGCAAAGTACTCTTATATTTTTGGCAAGAAAACAGATGTGTTCAGGTAATTCTGTTCAAAGAGGACTTTAAAGCTTTTGGTTGTATTCTCATAAAACTATACTAAACTTTCTCTAATCTGATGCCTTCTGTATATATTGGATTCCAACTTCCAGAATTGATAGCCATTGGCCCTTCTGCCTTGGAATTGTAATAAATATTTGGAGGATACCAGCTTGCAGAATACTTGCAATTAAGGATGTGCAATATTTACCAATCTGGGAACAGACCATTCTGAAGAACTTTATGCTGAACCTCATCCAGATTGTGCTGTTTTGAGATGCTGTTTGGTGCTGATTCAAGGATAGTCCACTCTCAGATCCTCTTGAAATCAACTGTTTGTTATTGGATTTGGCTTCCCATGTAAAATCCCACAAACATAAGATATTAATATATAGTATCTGTATATAATAACAAACATGGCTTTATTAAGGGAAAGCATATCTTTCAAGTAATTCCTTTTTAAACAATGAAATCTTTTTCAAGTTGAGCTGCATTCTTGATAAATTCATGAACACATTTGTGTAATTACCTCAGCAGCCAAATACTAGTGGTTTACCACTCCAATTCTTCCAGGATAATTTTTTTTTTTAGTTCCCAATGAAGAGCTCCCATCCAACTTCAGACCCAGCATAAACTTGCCAGACCCAGACAATGGGACACCTACATAACTGACGTACTTTTAGTTGCAGAAAGTTGAAACTCCTTTCTATTTGATTACTAAACAGGAACTGGAAACCAAAGAAAGAGAGTGGGAGTACTTCCCTTTCCATGCCCTTGGGAAGATTTGGATGAGATCCAGGCAAAGCCTTTCATTTCAGTAATTTTAGTCTTTGAGGAGGATGGCTGTGAAAATTTATTGACAGCAGCAATGATTCATTGTGAAAATCCTCAATAGAAATATTTCTTAATGGGCAGAAGATTTAACCCTTTGTAATAGGGTTAACATTCATTAACATTCTTTAGATTTTTAAAGTTTTATTTGAAATAAAGAATGTGCTGTTTAGATCTTTGGGATTCCCATTCTATCTTGGCAGTAGTTGATTATGATTTGTATAAATATGTTGGGAAATATTAGTAATATATATTTCTTACATTTTACTTTTTTTGAAATATAGGAAACGGACCTATAAGGAAGAAAAGATTTGTGTCGAGCCCCCGCTATGTGGAAACCTTGCTTGTAGCTGACCAATCTATGGCAGAGTTCCATGGCAGTGGACTGAAGCATTACCTTCTCACACTCCTGTCTGTGGCTAGTAGAATGTACAAGCATCCTAGTATCCGGAACCCTATTAATTTGGTGGTGGTGAAAATAATAGTCATCTATGACGAGGAGAAGGGGCCTGATGTATCTTCAAATGCTGCTCTCACTTTAAGGAATTTTTGTAACTGGCAGAAACAACATAATCCTCCCAGTGACAGGCACGCAGAACACTATGATACTGCAATTCTTTTTACCAGACAGGTAAGGAGAAATACGGGAAAGACTGGATATTTATAGGTTCCACTTAATGTAATCTGAACTTTCTTCAATCAGCACATTCAAAAATACTTTTTTTACTTTTACATTTTTTATTTTGAAATATTTCAAGTATTTCAAAGAGTATGTCAAAAATGTGGTTTCTTGGAATGAGCTGGTGCCATAAATTTAATTTGTTACACCTTTAATAGTTTTCTGCATGGAAAAATGAACAAAAATATTTATTGAGTGTTTGATTAGGAAACTTTGTTTTTACATGACTATGAACATCCAGTTTCTCTTGAGCATTCAGAAGATGTTTCAAGTCTCTCCCTTGACAAATAACTGTAAAAACTGAATAGAGACTATTGTTATCATTTAAAATGTGAGTTAATCAAATAGTTTACTTAACTAAGTCATAGAAATTGTACATCACTGATTAAATATCTGTTGTAGCATGTTTGTAATGATGTTAGCAATCATTATCATCTGTTGTGCCGTTCCTGATACATCTTCCACACTGAATGACATTTTTAATTTTGAAAGACTGTTATGCTCTTTCCATGATGAAAAAGCATATTGCCAAAATAATATCATTCTGTCAGACTTAAAGCTCTTGACCCAATTAATAATGAAAGTACATATTTTCTTTTTATAGGATCTCTGTGGTGCCAAAACATGTGACACTCTTGGGATGGCTGATGTGGGAACTGCTTGTGATCCAAACCGCAGTTGTTCTGTCATAGAAGATGATGGCTTGCAAGCTGCTTTTACAACCACTCATGAATTAGGTAATTGAAATTCAGGGGAAATTTGTGGCAAGCTTATTTGTTTTAAAAACATGCATTATCATATTGGTCTGTAGTTAAGGCTTTAAATCAGTTGTTTCTTGCAGTTACTGTGGTCTAGTTCTCACCATGGTGCCTAAGCTCTGCCACGTCAGACAGAGGTTTTGGCTTCAGTTGTTGTATAATAAAAATGCAAAAGTATGAAATCTAGATCCAGGCAAAAGGACCGTAACCTAGACAGTGATTCTTAACCTCAGCAACTTTAAGATGTGTGGGTTTCAACTCCCAGAGCTGGCTGGGGAATTCTGGGAGTTGAAGTTCATATATCTTTTTTTAAAAAAATTAAGTTGAGAAACACTGTCCCAGAGTGTGGGAGTTTTTTTTTTTTAATGCATTATCATTCAGGTATATTTCAATGATAGTATAAACAATCAGAAGTCTAGGTTTTACCAACATTGGGACAAAACTATGAGCTAAAGTTTCTCAATATATGTGAAAATGACTACTGAATATTGTAATATTTTTACAATATTTTTCATAGATAAAAAGTAGAGTTCAGAGGGGGAAAAAGTGGCTGAGACTTTTAAAATACACCCACACAAATCTTCTGTGTTAAGTTGAAGCCTGTGTATAGGATTTATAAACCCAATTTGACTTCAGGAAAAAAAATGAAAAATCTTTATCATAGGAAAGAGTAGAGTAGAACAGAACAGAATAGAATAAAAAAGAATACTTTGTTGGCCAAGTGTGATTGGACACACACGAAATTTGTCTCATAAGCTCTCAGTGTATATACAAGCAACAAGTGATAAATCATGATCATAATCATGAAATACAGTCATCATAAATCATAAGAGACAAACTCAGTGATAGTCATAAAATACTAAATAAGCAAACAACATAAATCATAATGGATACTAAATAAAGGCAATCAACATAAATCATGAGATACAAACAACAAAGTTATAGTCATAAGAAGCTAAGGAAATAGGAAAGAGGAGGTGAACGTTGGCTTTATTTTTTGATACCAGTTCTTGCATGCCAGCATAAATGCTCAATGCTTAAAATAAAATTAAACATACAATATAATATCATTAAAGTGCATCTATAAGATTTCGATACAGGTAGTCCTCGATTTACAACAGTTCATTTAGTGACCATTCAAATTTACAACATCACTGAAAAAGTGAGCTATGACCATTTTTCACACTTACGACTAATGCAGCCTCTCCGTCCATGGTCATGTGATCAAAATTCAGATGCTTGACAACTGACTCATATTTATGATGGCTGCAGTGTCCTGGGATCATGTGATCACCTTTTGTGACCATCTGACAAGCAAAGTTAATGGGGAAGCCAGATTCACTTAACATCCATGTTACTAACTTAACAACTGCAGTGATTCACTTAATAACTATGACAAGAAAGGTCATAAAATGGAGCAATATTCACTTAACAAATATTTAGCAACAGAAATTTTGGGCTCAGTTGTGATCGTAAGTCGAGGACTACCTGTACTACTCTGATCCATCAGACTCCAACCAACAGAATTAAAAAAATGGATGATAATGCAATAAATTACTTACTAGTTTACAATGTAATTACATAATATAACAATCAATAGTAGGACAAAATTCATATTGTCACATCACACTCAAACCAGAATTAGTCTTACAGCCCTCCTGAAAAGCCACACTTGACAAGCTTCCCAAACTCCATGAAAGTAAGGGCCACTTACGGACCAACTATTCCATGGAAAGGGACCATCCAAAAATAAGAACTACTTTTGTTCTCTCTGCCATTATTAATTCTGCATGAGGAGTAAGGGACTTCAGCAGGCATTCCTTGCTTACTCGTTTTAGATAAGCGTAATCTATCTGACATGGAAGGAATCAAAGATACCAAGGCCTGAAGCATATAAATAGATGACAATCAATGCCTTGAATAGAGTTCAGAATAAAATATTAGCTAATGGTGGTATCGCCTAGCAATGATAAGTCCAACTAGTAAGTTCTCACCATAGTGCAAGTTTTAATGTATGATGTGTTCATTGGGTTTTTTTCCTCTTCTTTTTAAAGGCCATGTGTTTAATATGCCACACGATGATGCAAAGCAGTGTACCGGTATTAATGGTATAAATAGGGATTCTCACATGATGGCATCTATGCTTTCCAACTTGGATCGAAGCCATCCTTGGTCTCCGTGCAGTGCATACATGATAACTACCTTTTTGGATAATGGTCATGGTAAGTTTTAAACATATTGCTTACATTTCTAACTGAACTCCATTCAAGATGCTGAATTTTAATATTAGAATTAGTTGCTTTCAAATATTTTAGGTATTTCCAAATCAGTCAGAATAACATTACATCCCAGCCACACGAAGAGGATGTCATATGCTCCTGTCCCAAGAAATGTCTTTTAGTCCGGAGAAAGAGAATCATGGCTTCATAGGAAAGACTAATATACTATAACATTATCATATAAATGGCTAGATCACTAAATATTGGATGACTCCGACTTAGAATCATAGGGCTGGAAGGGACCTTGGAAGTCTTCTAGTCCAACCTCTTGCCTAGGCAGGAGACCTTATTGGATCCTGGACAAATGGCTCTTCAGTCTTTTCCAAATCTCTCTCAGATACCATAATGAATGGATAAGCTGTCTAGATCAGGGGTAGTCAACCTTGGCTCTTTTATGACTCGTGGACTTCAACTCCCAGAATTCCTGAGCCAGCTAAGCTGGCTCAGGAATTCTGGGAGTTGAAGTCCACGAGTCATAAAAGAGCCAAGGTTGACTTGACTACCCCTGGTCTAGATGATAAAGCTTAGCACCTGCTTTGTTCAAACATAAGTAACCATTTAATATTTTGTAATGAACTATCAAAATCTTCCTTGTAAACACTAGTAGGCTACCAATTCCAATAATTGTTTCTAGCATTTCTAAAATGGCAAAGCACAAAAGTGTCCAATGTGATAGAATATCAGTTGGGAATACCCATTTCTTTAACTCTGAAGAGACACTTTTAATAATAATGAAAGGAGGAGAGGCTTCCAGCTGCCACTGGACCCACTATACTGGACAAATTTTCGTCCAGTATCTCACCTCCCCTTTCCGGAGAAGGTGGTTGTGGAACAGCTTCAGAGAGCATTGGGGAAGTGAATTAACCGGCTCCTTTCTGATTAGGCTTCAGAGCCAAGTGTGGGACCGAAATGGCATTGGACGTACTTATGCATGACTTCTGGCATGGGTGAGATGGAGATAATGCATCCATCCTTGTCCTACTTGACCTCTTGGCAGCTTTCAATACCATCAACCATGGTATCGTTCTGGATTGGCTCAGATGGCTGGAGATGGGTAGCATGTTATTATGCTGAATCACCTCTTTCCTTCATGGTTGTTTCCATTTGATGATGATTAAGGAGATGTCCTGCTCTCAGCTGCTACTATATGGATGCCATAAGTTTCATTGCCTTCTCCCTTCCTTTTTTACATCTATATGAGGCATCTACATCACCATTGGGTGAGCTTATACATTGCCACAGGGTGAGGTATATCTAGTTGTATATTCCTACCCCTGGCAAATTTAGCAATGCCATGAATATTTTATCCCATGCTCAAGGCTGAGGAGAAAAGCAGGCTTCATCTGAACCCTGACACAACCAAATGGCTTTGGTTTTGGGGGCCTACTGATTTGAGAACTATGCCATCTTAGGTGCTGGATGAGGTTACACTGCCTCAGGCAAACCCAGTGCACAATATGGAGGCCTTTCTGCATTCATTACTCCTCTTCAGGGAGCAGGTGGCAATCATGGTTAGGAGGGTCTTTGAACAGGTTTATCTTGATCACCAGTTGTGCCTGCTCCTAGATCAGCAGACCCTGTTTACAGTCACTCTTGCCCTAGACACTCCATCTTTGACTACTGTAATACATAGAGCTGCCCTTGAAGAGTAACCAGTATAGAATGTAATGACACAGTCAGTTATATGAACTCCTAGGACAATGAATATTAGACTTCTGCTCCACAAGTTGCATTGGTTGCCGGTTTGTTTTCAGGATATTTGGATATTTATTGTTATGGGCTTTTATATTTGTATTTGCTATTTTTATATTCTCATTTTTAAGCGATTGTTATGCACTGATCAGAGTTTCTTTGGGTGAGATGGATAGTTATATAAATTTGATGAATGAATGAATGAATGAATGAATGAATGATTAATATGCAGTGCTGAATTATGGGGCCTACCAATCTTACCTCAAATAATCTTATTTTTGTAAACATTCTTTAAATTTAAGCCGGAAAAGTAAACACATTAAAATTTCTCTTGTGAATTCATGGGTCAGACATTTGAATAGATATATTCTAATTTCTATCATTCTTCAAAGAATGATACTGCAATATTTAAAGGAAAAACAGTCAAAAGTCACCATATAGTTTTTCTTTATTATTTTCAGGAGAATGTCTGCTGGACAAACCTCACAAGCCATTGCTTTTCCCTTCTGATCTTCCTGGCACAATGTATGATGCTAATAGACAGTGCCAATTTACATTTGGGGAGGAATCCAAACATTGTCCTGATGCAGCTAGCATATGTACAACTTTGTGGTGTACTGGTACTTCTGGTGGAGTGCTTATGTGCCAGACCAAACACTTTCCTTGGGCAGATGGTACCAGTTGTGGAGAGGGAAAATGGTGCATGAACGGCAAGTGTCTTAATAAAACAGACAAGAAGCTATATGATGTAAGTGGTTGTTTCTTTGTAGTTGAGTAAGATGAAAAATATTCTCAGGCTTAATTTTTTTATTTAAATATTTAAAGACAAAAATATGATAGGGAAGAGTTTTATAGAGTGAATAAAAATATGAAGTATCGTTTGATTAGTGCTGCATATAAATGTTATCAAAACCGGGTTTAAAATTCTTACTGTTCAGTAATTCGCAATAATTAATAAAAATAGCAAATAAGTTATAATAAACAATTACTGTATTTGTTTTGGGGATCAACCCTGGAATGATCTACAAATGAGAAAACATTTTGTACCGCAGGTTTATTAGAAATACCCAGTATATGAGTATGAGAAGAAATGTCATTAGATCCAGTAAGTGTTAGATATGAGTAAAAGTGCATAGGATTTATTACTCTTTACTAGTTTTAAATAGCATGAAAGGGTGTTGCTTTACCTTGCAGGCCTAAAGTCATAATACACGTTACATAAATAATAGGATAATAACCTCAACTGTTTCTAAATTTTATGCCACCCTCTTATTACTCCTAAAACGAATGCTTTTTCAAGTTGTTTTAAGATGCACATTTGTTTCTGCGTTTCGAATTGTAGATCCCTGTTCATGGACGCTGGGGCTCATGGGAACCATGGGGTGAGTGTTCAAGAACATGTGGTGGAGGAATACAATATTCTGTGCGAGAATGTGATAGCCCAGTTCCAAAGAATGGAGGAAAGTATTGTGAAGGCAAGCGTGTGCAGTACAGATCCTGTAACACTGAAGATTGTCCAGAGAATAGTAAGTTTTACAGTTATTTTATAAATGCAATTATAAAATTAAATATGAGTGTCCTAAGTCTGATCAGTGTCTTCTCAATTTACAGGCAAAACTTTCAGGGAGGAACAGTGTGAGGCTCACAATGATATTTCCAAATCTTTTGGAACTGGCCTTACAGTGGAATGGGTACCTAAGTTTGCTGGAGTCTCTCCCAAAGACAGATGCAAGCTGGTTTGCCTTGCCAAAGGAACTGGCTATTTTTTTGTTCTTCAACCAAAGGTGGGTACAAGTGCATATCATATACATCAAGCACTTTATATGTGTTTGTTAACTTGGACTGCTTGTAGAGTTGATGAATGACACTTTCTGTAATACAGCGGTTCTCAACCTATGGGTCACGACCCCATTTGGGGTCGATCGACCATTTCACGGGGGTCGCCAAGCAAGGCTGTCCGCCATTTTTTCCCCTTTTCCGGCGGGTGCCTTACCTCCCTTGAGCTGGGCCAACTGGTGGTCGGCCTGCTCCGTCTCTGCCGCTTGCCAGCTATGCCTTGGCCGGCGCAGGGGGCGGAACCACGCATGCGCAGCGCTCCCGGGCAGGGAAAGTCCTCGGCTTATGACCGGTTGGGTAGTCCTCGACTTACGACCAGTTTAGTCCTCGACTTACGACCGGTTTAGTCCTCGACTTACGACCGGTTGGGGGTCGCGGCATTAAAAAGCTTGAGAACCACTGCTGTAATATGCAAAATAACACTTTACATCCAGACAAGGTTGGCCACTTGCTACCATCAACTGAGATCACTCTTGGTATTCTAGCAATGTATGGTAGAATTACTAAACATTTTACTTCTAAAAAGCACTCAAAGGCTTCTGATTTGGTTTCCATTATTAAGATAATTAACAAAACAAGTATAATAACAAAGCTTAAAAACCTAAAGAGATGATACCTTCCTCACACAAAATATCAGTTGGTTTCATAATGTCCGAGATGGTGGTGCAAAATGCTTCTAATTCAGTTTGTTTTTAGTATTAAAATACTCTTATTTCGAGTTCCAAATCATTGTTTCATGATCAAGTGTTTCAAGCTTGAAGCACTTCTGAAGTAGTTGAGACAGTCCATTATAGATGCTAAATCTAAAATGGGATGGCTGATGGCTGTCAAGATGCAAACTGGGCCTTTGCAATATTAACATAATTAAGTTGGGGGAAAATGTAACTACTAGACTTAAGAAATTAATACAAACAAATTACTGGGGGGTGTTTTTGTTTATTTTGTTCAAGAGTTATATATTTTTCTTTTGTTTTCTTTATGCTTCCACACAATTTTAAGCCATCAGGAGTTGCTGTTGCAAGTTGGATGGCCAAATCAATCAATATATAATGGGTGACAGAAAAGTTAAAACATCAAGGTCTTGTTTCTGTCATTAGGGAACACCTACTGAGAGTTGTGTTCCCCAACCTAGCATAATTCCCATTTCTTCTCAGTCTAGAAAAGGTTGACTGTAGCAAGATAATTGTTAATTGTTTTTAATTACCTTTTAAACTCTTTGCATACATATCTACCTGCATATAGTTGTTCAAAACAGGAATTTTGCTGTTTGTTCTCACAATGCTTATTTAGCAACATAGAGAACTCTAAATTTGGACTGAAAATTCTTCCTCCTCCCTTCATACAGAATTTTTATTTCAGAATTGTTTTCCCAAGTTGTGCAATCAATCTATTCCTACTCCAATTTCAGAAATATTTTTCCATAATTAATTTTTTAGGAGTTGTAATTTATATATTGATAATATGTATCTGTCATGCTGGGGTTTTAACTAACATATGTTTCAGAAGTGGTTTTTTTTATTTGATGTCTCCTGGAGACCTTATTCTGCCATTTTTATTTTTATTTATTTATTTGTTTGAATTTTTATCCCGCCCTTCTCCTTACGGACTCATTTGATTTTATTTCCAGAACAAGATAATTGCAGGAAAAAAATGTAGTATTAGATTGTCAAAATGTACTACTGTTGTTTTCTTTTTGTCTTTGTTTATACATTCAGCTAAATGATGGCATTTTTTTCTCTTAATTTATTGAATAAACAGGTTCATACAAGTTAAACTGTATAAAACAGTTTATGTATAGTTTATAGATAAACTATAAATTGTGATTCACAAGTCATAATGAAATCATAATGGCACGATATCATAAACCACATTAACATACTATATAAACCCCAAGGACACTTTGATTTTAAAATGAAACTTAAAAGAGATTAACTGACTGGATTGTGTTCAGAACTTTAAAAATTTAATGATAAACTTTGTATAACTTCTAATCAAGTCTTCCTTGCTTTAAAGGTGGTAGATGGAACTTTATGTAGTCCAGATTCTACTTCAATTTGTGTTCAAGGGCAATGTATAAAAGCAGGATGTGATCGTGTCATAGGATCCAGTAAGAAGTTTGATAAATGTGGCATCTGTGGAGGCAATGGATCTACCTGCAAGAAAGTTTCTGGAATGTTTTCTAATGTCAGGTGTGTTTTCAAACTTTAGGAGTTGTTACGCTACTCATTACCATGAAAGATGTTTTTCATTTGAATTGTTTAATGAAATCAGTATAGGAAACAGTGTTTCATATTGTGAATCAACTACAGGCTTTATGTTAGTTTATTCTTTTAATTACAAAGTTTTCAGGATACATTACTTTAAGATTCAACCTAAGTTCTTGCCCGTGATAGGAGTCTTTAATAATTAAGAGGTGCTGGTATTCAACAGTAGCTCTTCTTCTTCCCTGTAGACCTGGTTACCACGATGTTGCTGTGATTCCTACTGGGGCAACAAACATAGAAGTGAAGCAACGAAATCACAGGGGTACACGGCAAGATGGAAGCTTCCTTGCAATCAAAGTGGCTGACGGTACTTATATTCTCAATGGTGACTATACACTAACAACAATGGAGCAAGATATTACTTATAAAGGAAATGTTTTGAGATATAGTGGTTCATCTGCTTCTCTGGAAAGAATTCGGAGCTTCAATCCACTGAAGGAACCATTAACCATACAAGTCCTTACTGTGGGCGATTCATTACGATCTAAAATCAAATATACCTATTTTAAGAAGAAATCAGCACAGTTGGGTTCTGAGGAGCCTTTCAGTAAGACTGAATCTTTCAATGCAATCAAGGAGACAGTTTTATCTGAATGGATTATAGAAGAATGGGGAGAATGTTCTAAATCATGTGGTACTGGCTGGCAGAGGAGATCTGTACAATGCAGAGACCTTAGTGGGCGACCTGCCTCGGACTGTGCAAAAGAACTCAAGCCAAGTGATATACGACCATGTGCAGACACACCATGCCCACGATGGCAGCTAGGAAACTGGTCACCATGTTCCAAGACATGTGGGAAGGGTTTCAAAAAGAGGTTATTAAAGTGCATTTCCTTTGATGGTACAATTTTGACATATGAAAGCTGTGACCTTTCAAAAAAGCCAAAACATTTAATAGACTTATGTAATGTTACACTTTGCAGCTAAACTATATTGGAAGTCTAAAGCTATATATATATATATAAGTATGTACGTATGTATGTATATTCAGACCAAAGCACTGAAATTGAAGTGAGAGGTAGCAACTATAATTTGTACGTGGAAATTCAGAGTAGATTCACTGAGCTGGGACAGTGCAAATATTATTAGATGGTGTTAAATCCTGGTGGAGTGGGAAGGAATCCTGTCAGTATGAACAATAGATAAAAATGCCAGTTTAGTTGCTAGCAAACTCAGAAACACACATCTCTTAATCTTAGTTTTTTTACAAATTAAACAGAATATATGCCATGGCCAAAACAATTTTTTAAAAAATATGTTTGCATTCTAGCGGAAATTGCATTTTTTTAAACTTCTGGAAATTGTATTGTGGTACTGATGAAATTCCTTTCCTGATCAAAGTGGGGAAGAAAAGGCAGTTCTTTAATTATTGGTCAGGTCTTGCCTACCTCACATGTAACAAAACCCTCATTATTTAAATAGAGTTTTCAACTATATTTTTCATGGAGAAGCGAAACAAATAGTCCTAGATGCTTAAAGTTCCAAACATTAGAATGTATTTAATCTTCTTAAGAAATACCTTGCAGTTCAAAGCCACATATTAATTAGGAAGAAAGAAAGAAAGAACTATTCAAAATTTAACTCCCTTCTCTATCCTTTCCTTTACCACATTTGTTCCAAAATCAAACGGACCTTTGGAACATATGCCTCGTTTTTATATGAAAGCAGGGTTCTTCATGAAGGAATAATCCTGACAAGCTGCCATTTCACATATAGTAACAGTTGCCATGGTGGTCAGCAGTAACATGCTTACATACGACCTTTTGCAAACATTAAATTCCACTATAAATGGAACATCTCTTATTACACCTTTCCATATCCAAATGAATTCCAGATGTGCTCAGCCAACATAGCCAAATACTATGCTGATTGGGAAATACAAGAGTTAACAGTCACAAGATATCTGGAAGACCCTTAAGTTGTCTCATTGCAGACAACAACTTTACACTGCTGAAATCACTTGTAAAGCAGGGAAGATTAAGCTGCAGGATAGCAGGTCCATCCACAGCAGTTTTCCAATATCTGCATATTTAAAGTTACTTGCTAAGCTATACACTATGAGAGAATATGTCTCTTCATATGTATATAGTAAAAGGTATTACTAGAAATGATACATACTTTATAAGTATTTATTTTTTTTCCCTTCTAAGAAGGGTTATAATTGATAACAAATGCATATACTGTAATGAATGTATTTATTTTTCTATTTCTTGTCTAAAACAATTTCTTAAGTTATCACCTTTTTAAAAAAAGACATATAACAAGATAGAGTATTTATGCAATATAATATGTTACTAGAAATAATAAACTATGAATTTTTGAAATTGAGAGTTTTTATTTTATATACATTTCTATCACATCCTCAATAAGAATAGCTAGTCTGACTTTATCACAAGGCATATGTTAAGATAGACTTTGTACTTGCTACTGCCAAGCAGCAGAGTCAGGGTTAGAGTAAATTAAGGTCTAGATATTCTCTTGTCCCACTGGAATGCACATTGTATATCGACTCATCATTAATAGAACCAGTGTTATGGTGATCTACCTTTCATGCTTATCTGGATTTAATATATATTCAAACTGAAGTTAAGTAATCTAGTCCTAGTCACATTTATGTTCCTTTGAATTTCATGTTAAATTGTACAAGGCAACCTTTTGAAATTTAATTGCATGGTAAACCATTCATTTTTGCCATTTTATAATGAAAACACATCTGTTTACCTCATATGCTGAAGTCTGAGGTTCTTGCTGTGAATTGTGAAAATTATTGGGATAGTATGGTGAAATAGTTCATTTGATTGATGCTGTAAAAAGTGTCTCTGCAGATGGATTTTTATATTGCTGTTGAGAAATAAAATCGAAAATCAGATTATATAATAAATGATTGTACAGAATTATATACTCTAGAAACCAAATTTTCCTAAAAGTATAAAAGAATCTCTGGGTAAATATTACTAGTGAGCATACTGAACTCAAAAGGTACATCATTTTCCCATCCTGCTGGAAAATAGAACACTTGCTGTGATCGTTTTCCTAAAATTTAAATATTTTAAGGACATTTTGTTATTTCCCAAGGGTATCTCTCCCTGTTTTTAGAATTTACATTTCAGGCAAATTGGAAATCCTTTGATTGTTCTTCCTTCTCCTGCCTCAAATCCTATTATCTTTCACATTATGGTTGAGTTCACACATTATGCTACCCTATAATAGGGCTTGTTTTAGTTTCATGCAGATTATAAACCAATTTATAAACTATGATTTTTGGCATTACATGATGCATCAATCCAGCCTGATTACTATATTTTATTCAGTAATTTAATATTAAATAAACCATATCTTGGGTAATAAATGAACCTTACCTATCTATTTTTGACTATAAGCTTCTAAAAACAAAAAGTATCAGTTTGTAAAGCTCTGCAAAGTACCACCTTTAATGAAATGTGTACACTTTTGAGAGCAAGCAACAAAATTTCATTTTTAATGTGTGCCAATGTGCCCATAGTAAAAAAATGACAATAAAGATTAGCTAAGTGGCAGCTTTTTGTTAGCGGGTAACCAGATTCCATTTAGAATAAGTGGTTATGGAAATAAGCAGGCTCCAAAACATGTAAGAGTTTGTGGGTTAAAAATGATCTTGGGTAACACCAACAAACAATTCAGCTCCAGCAGATCTTACATATTATGACAGCATTGGCTTGTTCTTGTAGGCATGTAGGAACTTGCAGTTTGTAGCAGCTGCAGTTCTGGGCAATTGTGCAGAGTAAATCACAGTCATCTCAGGATGAGATGCTAAGGCCATGAGTGGCCATTGCTAGTGTCTTCTGTTTCAGAAAAGGTCATAAGTGATGTGATGTACTATCAGGAGTATGTCAAAGAGTCTCCTGGATACAGCTTCCACTAGTTTCAGCAGAAGCTGTGAGTCCACGAGGAGCCCAGCTCTTTCTGGAGAATAGCAGCCTATTTAAAGCTGTTGATACTATCTTAGACTATTGACTTCTAACTCAACAGCCATTCCGTCTTAGTTGAGTCTTGGCATGGTTCTCCAAATCCAGACTTGTATATCTTTCAGATACCAAATCAAAATTTCTATCACATCTGTCATTTGCGCAGGAATATATACAGTTTGGTATTGTGTGGACATTGATGATGCCATTTCCCAAATCATCAACTGATCCCTTATATCTGCTTCATGTAGTATTTAAGAGGAATGAGGTGCCACAAAATGTGGCCCATTTCCCCTCCCTCATGTTCTCCCATATCTTGGTATCTGATCCTGCCATACCCCAAATATTTTTACTGTTCACTCAGAAATGAGCAGAACCATGTAAAAATTATTTGATTCCAAACTCTCACAGACAAACCAGAAAGGTACCCTGGTTGATAGTATTGAAGGTTACTAAGAGAACAAGTAGAGATGTGCTTTCCCAATCCAAATCCTACTACTAAGCTTTGATGTGAGCAATCAGTGCACTTTTCATCCTATGCTCAGGCAGGAGGCTAGATTTAAAAAATTGTGACAGAAAGCCTAACATGATAATATTTTGTATCTGCTGCTCTGTCACCTTTTCTACTACCTTTGCCCAAAATGGAAGTCTGGAGACTAGATGATAGTTGTTCAATATAGTTGGATTCAAAGCTGATGTCTCCTTTTTGTGGAATGTATTCAAGCAAAGGTTTAACTATTTGCCTGGGGTGCTTTAATTTGAACTCCTGACCATGGACCTGTGGTGTGAAGGGCCTGCTGCATAATTAAATGATTCTATAAAACAATTACTAACCATCAAACACAGACCACAGGGTGATGATACAGATGGATGGAATCAAACCCTGAAGCAGACATCAATGTCAACTCTGTCCTGTCTATTCTGGCAACATTATGACAGGAGCTCTGACTGCGTACAAGTGATTTTTATCTGCAAAGCATGGCTGGCTCAGGAATTCTGGGAGTTTAAGTCCGCGAGTCATAAAAGAGCCAAGGTTGCCTACCCCTGTCCTAGCCTATCCTTCCTCAGAAGAGTTCTAAGAGTCCTATTACTTTAAAAGGAGCATTAGATGCCTTGAGTTATTTATAAAAACAGGATATAACTAAATAAATAAATTCCACAGAGGCAATTGGTAAAAAAAAAAATGATTATCCCTTGCTGTCCTTAAGTCACACTATGGATCATACCATTTCCAGGGTATTTTTTTTCTTATCTTCTACCAGTATCACTCTAAAACTTTCTTCTGGCCTTTCATCTTGCAGATTTCCTCAATAAAACAAGAATTTCCCTGGGATCTGGGCATAAGGGAAGGATGTCCAGTGTTTGTCCTGTCAAGAGCCTTTGTTATGACTGTGTTTTAAAGATTGATGAGGTTTTTAACAGAATTACTTTCCAGATTGCTGTGAAATTCTTAAGGCACATTCATGTAATTGTTCTAATATATAATATATGACCTACCTCCCACCCTCAAAAGGTCAAGCCCATAATAGGTCCCGAGGCACACCTGGACAGTCTTCCGACACTGGGTCAATACACTGACAGCATCCCCTGTGCAGCGGGGATTGACATGTACAATTGGACATCACCCACATACTGACTGTATCAAGCTCTAAACTTATGGATGACCTCACATGGCAGTCTTATGCAGATGTTAAAAAGGGGGACTCGGAAGTGAAACTACTAAACCTGAAGCATCCCATATAGGGGAGAAGAAATAAGCATAATCTCTCTCCTCCTATCAACATGGACTGAAATTATCCAATGAGATAAGAGGCAACTTGCTATAACACCGTGCCTCTCACTCCCACTTTGTGCACCTAGAATTATCCTGAGATAATTGCACAGCTCTGTACATGAAGTAACTGAGGAGAAATAGTGACATTTTACCACCCTGATTGCCATGGGCTGAAAAAGCTCATACTCACTCCTTATCTTCTTCCAAGGCATTCTAGGCATTATTTCTAACACTTTATCTCTCAGCGCTCTTCAAAGAAATCAAAGTAAACCCTATAGTTTAGGGAAAAGAGCAGCAATCCAGTCCAGGGCCTCAGTCACCCATCTATTCCAGGCTTGAAACAAGGTCTTGGCTAGACCACCCACCAGATTCTCAGGGGCAACTTCTGGAACCCATCAATCAGCCAGAGCGGGCATATCTAACAGGCCTTTTCTATGCAAGGGTGAATTACATCAGGAAAATGTCACTATTTCTCCATGTGGAACATTCCACAGGACTACACACACACACACACACACACACACACACACACACACACACACACCCTCTGGCAAGTTGCAGGGCCTAATGAGTATACAAACACCCACCTACCCACACATCAAATTTAAAAAACCAAACAGGCAAACAAAAAATATATATCTTCAAATACTATAGAAAACTATCAAACTTCAAAAACTATAAAAACTACTGCTATGGAACCAAAAAATACCATCTGGTTTTTGAATGAACTTCTGATTTTTAATATTTAAAATTATGTTAATATTATGGTATTTAATAATTGTATATTTGTTTTAGAAGAGAGTTAAAGGAAGTTATAGATTTGTTAGATTATAGTTGATTAATGTTAGTTAGATTATGATTATTTTATTGTTAATCCTGTGATTGGCTCTGGGAAGTGAGGGGGGGAGGGATGGGGGGTTGGGTTTGGGGGGAGGGGGGATTTATATTGTAAAATTTCATAAAATTTTCAATAAAAAAAAAAACCTACTGCTATGTCCAACCACACAAGCAGACATTATCTTACATATCATCTTACAGAATCGCCAATAAAATATAAATTCCATACTTCCTTGTTCAATTACCCACAGCTTCCTTTTCCAGCTAGGACTCAAACTATCTAGTCCCACATTATCCAAGTGAGTTACCCTTTGATCTTACTCCTCCATCTCCACTACTTCTCCCTTACTGTACGTTTCTTTCTCCTCAATTGCCATTATCCTTAAAGAATTCAAAATTCCTTAACTACACTAAACCATCAATATCATTCTCATTTCCTGATTATTCAAAATTCTCTAACTACAATGAGACACCAATACCACACACAAATATTCACACATATACATTGAGCATAATTGAGAAGGCACTCTAGTTCTCTTAAGATAAATTCTCAGATAACACAGCTGGCATGATAACAAACACATTCTTTATGGCAAGAAGGAACTCAAAGCAGAGAAAAGGCCATTTTTTAAGTCCAACTGGGATTATTATAGATTTAGTACCAAAAGACAGGAGATAGCAAAAAGGAAAATAATTAAGCCAGCTCCAAGACTGGCACACCCTAACTGCCTCATGGAGAACTAAACTGAGGAGAATTCTTTTTTCCACAAAAATGAAAAGGCCTATGGAAGGGATGAGACCACTGCCTATAGATCTTATTTCGCTGCCATCAGGAGGAAAACTTTGCCTATATACATAAAATTGTACTCTTTATAGTGCAGCTGAATTTTTATATAAAAGTGCCTCAGCTCTCATGAAGACTCATCACCAGGCGGAACATCACTTTTGTCAGATTTGGAAAAAAAATGGTCAGGTATTGCCCAAGGGTAACCGATACTGGCAAAAAATTAGCAGGAAATTCATAACAAGAGTAAGAGAAATAGAATAGAGATTCATTCTTCAGTTTATTCAACTCAGCTTAATACTTTTCAAGGAACTCTGCCAAATGTTACAGGGAAAGTTCACAATCAGGTCAGGATTGCAGTATTCATCCAATGCTATTAATTCCCAGCATCTGGAAGACAGAATTGAAGAGGAGGTCAAAAGCATCATGCACCTGATACATTGCTGACTGGTAGAATTTCATCTTAATATCTACTTACTGTAACTGGGTTATTTGCCACTATTGCAAAACTACTCTTTTATTTGGTGACTTAAGGGCAACTAATACTTTGTTGTAAGATTGGGATTACATGGTCATACCTATAACTTTGTATTCTGTATTCTGCATCAGTTGCAACTTCTGGACAACACATT